ATATTGGCCTGTAGCTTTCTCTGTTTTGTCGTGTCCTTACATATTTTTAGAATTAGAGTGGCAATGGCTTCATAGAAGGAGTTGGGGGGTATTCCTTCTGGGGTTTTTTGCTTGTCTATTTGCTGTTTGTTTTTTAACAAGAAATATGGCTTACAGATCCTTTCTGGACATCAGGTAAAATCCCACACTGAACCCATCTGGGCCTGGACTTCTTTATTTTTAGCCAGAAGGCTTTTCATCTCTGTTTTTACTTCCTCTTTGGTTGTTTAGGTTGTTGATCTCTTCTTGGCTTAACTTTGGTAGTTTGAATGAACATAGAAATTCATCCATTTCTTGTAGATTTTCTAACTCAATGGAGTATGGGTTTTTAATGTTATCCTCCTATAGAAATTTGAATTTCTTTGGTGTCTGTTGTAATGTTTCCCTGTTGCAGTTGAATTTCTTTGGTGTCTGTTGTAATGTTTCCCTTCATTTCTGATTCTGTTGATTTGAGGCCTTCCTTCCTTCCTCCCTCCCTCCCTCCCTCCCTTCCTTCCTTCCTTCCTTCCTTCCTTCCTTTTGGTTAGTTAGATCAAGGGTCATTTATCTTCTCAAAGCACCAGCTCTTAGAGTCAATGATTCTTTCTACTGTTTTCTCTGTTTCTGTGTCATTAGTTTCTTCCCATCTCCTGGATTTGGGTTTGGTTTGTTCCTGTTTCTCCAAATTCTTAAGCTGCATCATTAAGTCATTCTTTAGTTCTTTCTGATTTTTTTTTTAATTTAAGCACTTGGAGCTAAAAACTTTTCTCCTAAGACTGTTTTCAATGTGTCCCAGAGGTTTTGTTGTGTTGTGTTTTCATTTTCGTTTAATTCCAGGAAGGTTTAAATTCTTTTTCTTCTTCAACCCATCCATCACTCAGTAATGTGCAGTTTAATTTCCATGGGCTTTTACTACCGATTCATTTGCCATTGACTTTAACTTTTGTAGCATTGTGGTCAGACAGAATAACACAGTGTTATTGTTCTTTCCCTCAATTTGCTAAATTTGTTTTCTATACCATGACGTGGTCTATTTTAGAGAGATTTTGTTTGCCTGCTGAGTAGAATATATATTCTTCAGTGTTTAAACGGAATGTTCTGTAGGTAACTGTTGGGTCCACCTAACTATGATGTTATTTAATTCCGAAGTTTCTCTGTGTATTTTTTGTTGATATGCCCTGTCTATTGGAGAAAGTGGGGTGTTAATCACTCACTTATTAATTAATTACCAAGTTGAAGCTAATCTGTCTCTTTAAGTCCAGGAGCACAATTTCTGTGAAATGAAGGGAAGTAATGTCTTCTTGGTTAATTCCTTTAATTCAATTAAGTGGCCTTCTTTATCTCTCCTGATGTGTTTCGGCTTGAAATCTATCTTGTAAAATAGGAACACCTGCTTATTTTTCTAGTCCCATTTGCTTGGAGTACTTTTGTCCTCCCTTTCACTTTAAGGCGGTTCCGGCCTTTGAAGGCAAGCTAAGTGTCTTGTAGAGCTGAGAAGACACTTAACGCATTTGCCCAACTTGTATCTTTTGATTAGGGAGTTGAAGCCATTAATGTTTAAAGTTATTACTGAAAGGTATAAGTCCCTGGGTATGGTGGCACACACCTTTAATTCTATTACTCTGGAAGAAGAGACAGATAATCTCTGTGAGCTCAAGGCCAGCCAGGGCTACATTATGAGACCTTTCTTTTCTTAAAAAAAAAATAGATGGGGTGGAGGGGAAGAAAGGTATGTACTGGTGCTGCCTCTCTCTCTCTCTCTCTCTCTCTCTCTCTCTTTCTCTCTGTGTGTGTGTGTGTGTTCTTAGTTCTATTTCCTATTTCAATAATTATACTTTTATTTCCTTTCCACAGTGTCTTGGCTATGCTTCTTCTTCTGTTCAGTTCAAAGTATTGCTTCCAGTATTCCTTGTAGAGTGGGTTTGGTGGACATGAATTATTTTAGCCTGTTCATACCATCTTGGAAAGTTTTTTCCCCTCCTTCAGCTATGTCAGATTGCTTTGCTAGGTACAGTAGCCAAGGCTGGCATCTGTGATCATTCAGAATTTGAAGTACACTGCTCCAGGCCATTCTGGCTTTTAATGCTCCCATTGAGAAATCTATTTTTTTCTGGGTTTCCCTTTATAAGTGTGACTTGTGATTTTTCTCTTCAAGTTTTCAATAACCTCTCTTTGTTCCATATTTTTAGTGTTTATGCTATGCTGTGGGGAGTTCCTTTTCTAGTCCTGTCTATTTGATACTCTGTGTTTCTTGAGTGTGTGTGCGTGCGTGCGTGTGTGTGTGTGTGTGTGTGTGTGTGTGTGTGTGTGTGTGTGTGTGTGGTGTTTGGGGAAGGTTTCTTCTGTGATGTTGTTGGATATCTAGTCTATGTCATTATCCTGGGATTCCTCTTCATCTATACAGATAATTCCAACATTTTGTCTTTTTGCAGTGTCTTGAAGTTCCTGCAAATGTCTTTTGACTGCTTTTAAACTTGTTAATGTTCTTTGCCTGAGTCACCTAATATCTCAACTTATCTTCAAGTCCTGATAACTGTCTTCTATTTGCTTCTTTCTGTTTATAGGGCTTTCCACCAAATTTTCTAATTAGGTGAATGAGTTTTTCAATTACTTCAGCTGGATTCTTTCCATTATTTCAATCTCTTTATTCAACTTGGGCTTCCAATCCTAAATTGTCTTCATCGTTTCATGAGGTGGTATGTTTGTACTTCCTTGGACATCACAGTCATTGGTAATCATTTCAAATTCATTAAACTGTGTATTTGTTTCTTTAGATTCTTTGAGTTCTGTGATTAAATTTTGTGATTGCTCTTGTAAATTCTGTGCCCTGGAGTTCATCCTGGTTATTCTTACTGGAGAACGATTCTATGGTTGATGGGAGGGAGGGGGAATAGTGACTGTGACATACTATACCGGCCCTTCATATTTTTTTGTGCTAAGACCTAGACACACAGACATCCGTTGGTTATGTGTCTGAAGTGAGATTCTAGGCAGCTTCTATGGAGAGCAGACTTGTTTTTGTTTGTTTGTAGATTTTTGTTTTTGTTGCCCAAGCTTGATTGATTTCAATCAATCAGACATGAGGAGTTGGTAGGCAACACCTTCAGTTGACTGGTGGTAATTCTGATTGTAGGGATGAAGGTGATTCCAATTAAGGGGTGATCAAGAAAGCATGCAATGGGACAAATGGTTGGGTCTATTTAGGCTTTGCTACCTGAGCTCTGGTAAGGAGTGTGAGGGTGGCATGGGTGGGGTCTTGGGCACACACCTGCCTAAGCTGACATACCAGCTGCACAATAGGCTTAAGGTTTGGGGTGGTGCAGGCAGGCAAGCTGCCTAGGTTCTGAAAACTCACCATACTGAACCAGTGCATGGGATGTGCATCCTGGGCTAAGTTTGGAGGTTGGATATAGCAAGTGTGGGTTAGCATCTAGTGACTCACCTTACTGAACTGGAGCACAGGAAATGTGACCCATGCTAGGTCTGGAGGTTGGATATGATGCCTGGGAATTGGAGAGCACTAAGATCTCAGCATGATAAACTAGTACACAGGATGGGCTACCAGACCCAAGCCTGGATGTTGGGAAGGGCACAGGAGGGACTCTGTAGACTGTCCTGGTGCACAAATGTAAGAGTCTGGCTAGGTCTGGTGAAGGGAAGGGTACAGGTGGGAAAGGGTCAGGTAGATTCAATAGGCTTGGCAAGAGCAGGCTAGGCCCAGAGGTTGGCAAGAGCAAGCTAGGGTCAGGTAGACTCAGTAGGCTGGACAAGATCATGGATATGAGACCCAGACTAAGCCCAGAGGTTTGACCTGGTACAAGCAAGCTAGGATCAGGCAGACGCAGCAGGATTGACAAGACCAGAGGTTTGACTTGGTACAGGCAAGCTAGGGTCAGGCAGAAACAGCAGGATTGACAAGCGTAAGGGTGTATGACCCAAGCTAGACCCAGAGGCTGGACATGGTACAAGCAAGCTAGGGTCAGGCAGATGCAGCAGATTTGTCTTGGACCTGCCCTTTGCATCATTAACCATCCACCCCCATCCTCGGTGTGAGTGGCAAGACCTTGTCCTGCATTCAGATCTTTGTGTCATCCCTTACTAAGGGTCATAATAACGGGCTTGAGCACAGTTCCAGCATAAGACGCTCCAACTCACTGCCGCTGCACACAGTGGAGAATTGTGCTGATTTAGGGACTAATAAGAAGGTATTTGTTTTTCTACTGGGAGCAGGCAGGCTGTGGTCAGCAGGGTCTGGAGGACAACGTTAGCTTCAGATGACCTCACCACCTTTGCTCAGCATCTTCTGCATTGCAGAAGAGGGACAGATCCATGTCATATGCCCAGCATGTAGCCCCATGCCCAGCACACCACTGTACCATAAACAGTGTTGTTAATGTTACAGGGAAGCCTGACCGTTTATGTGCATGATTTGGCTTCACAGTAAGAACCAAATGGGAGGAGCCATTTCTGTAGTGGCATCTTGCTTTGCAAGTGAACTTACCATGGTGGCCACAAACTAGGGGCATGGCTTCAGGTGTGCAGATGTGACCCCTTATAAGGTGGAGGAGGGGCTGGCTCACTCTCTTGGGTTGTGGTGAGAGCATCGGAAGGGCAGAGACTGCATCTTCAAGAGCAGGAAGACTACAGTGGTTATTTACTGTTATTTGTGTGAGTGCTTTCCTAATAAATAACTGTTTATCGTTTATCTTGGGTCTTGCGGACTCATTTAAACCCTGCCTTCACATTTCACAAGCTCTCTTCCAGAACCCAGCCGTCTATAGATCTGGTTGCTGTGTTGATTGGAGGGAGCAATGTGTCCTGGTCCCATTTGCCATCTGGTCTACCTCAGCCCTGCTTCCTAGCCTGGGGCCTGACACATGGCATGTCTGAAGGAATTCTGTGTCCCCGAAGAGGTGACTTGGTGTTTATGCAGACAGACAGGAGCCTGCAGTGATTCCCTCCTCTTCTCTCTGCCCATCAAGCCTGAACCTGAGCAACAGTGACATCCTGACCATCTATGATGGTGATGAGGTTGTGCCCCATGTCCTGGGTCAGTACTTTGGCAACAGCAGCCCTCAGAAGCTATACTCCTCCACACCGGACCTCACCATCCAGTTCCACTCGGACCCCGCTGGCCTCATCTTTGGCAAGGGCCAGGGATTTATCATGAACTATATAGGTAGGTATTTCAACCCATCAATCTTGTTTGTGTTGGAGGGACATTGTGCGCAGTGGTCTCCTGTGGGTCTGTCTGTGTGGATGCTTTGTGACTGGTGGACCTGTTAATGCACTGACATAGTTGTTGCATGTGGGTTTAAGCGCATGGGCCCTCTAGCCATGAGGACCAGGGTTTATATCCTAGCACCGAGTGGAGAGTTGTGTGACCTTGCACGAGTCAGAGAGTCACTCTGAGCACCCTCCTATGAGCAAAGTGGAAACACTGAGGAATGTGAACACTTAGCAAATGAGGCCTCACAATGCTAAGGCTCGTCCTGTTTCCTTGGATGTCAGCCGTGACTCCACGGCACACTCCCACTTCCCTCTGTTTGCAATTTCTCAAATCTCATCTGCTCCCTGTATCCTGACCTGCATCAGCTCTTCCTGAGGATACCCCTCCTCAGTCACTGCACAGGGCTGCTCTGCCTGTCCTCCTTCACATGCCTGAGGGCCTGGGCACACAAGCAGGGTCCATCTTCCTTGGTCCTCAGTGTGACTGATGAATTCTTCATAAAACAAAGCAAAAAAAGCAGCACATGATCAGATTCAAGGCCAGTTCACATCTCACCCTCCATCACCACCACCACTATCCCCCCCATTGCCACGACCAACAACAGCCCCACCCTACCACCACCACCACCATCCTCTACCATCACCAAGACCCCATTCCCATCACCACCACTCTCCCCACAACCCACAAAACCACAACTACAGTAACCATCACCACTCACACAACAACAATCACCAAATATAGCCCCTAAGCTACAACTATCACAACCTATACAACCACCAGTACCACAGATACAACACCACCAATACTATGACCACATTCATTACTGCTACCATTGCCATCATCATCATCAATATCACCACCACCACCACCACCATCACCACCACACCACCACCACCACCATCACTATCACCACCATAACCAACAGCCCCAGAAATGTCCTTTTCCAGGAAACGGGACAGCTTTCCTGTTTTACAGGTGGCCTCTTCTTCCCTTGCCTCCACCCATCCATCCTCTCAACTCTGCTTTCCCAGCCTGTCTCGGTTCCAAGCACATCTCCACATCCCTCCAGGACCATCTCCTTGGTCCACCACCATCCACAGCAGACAGGAAAGTAGAATCCAGTGACATTCTGGTTACCCAGCCCTGGAGAGACATGGGCAACCAGCAGAGCCCCTGGTTCAGCCCTGTCCCATCATGGTAGAAGTGGCCCAGGATCCATGAGAGTGGGTAATTTGTATATCAGGGCAGATCTAGAGATCACATCCTAGTAGCCCCATTCCCAGCTCTTCTATGATGTTCTGATGTTCTTGGTATACTCAGAGCACCTGAGGGTGCAGGGGTGACTAACTGAACTTCTAGTATCTGGCATGGTGGGGACACACACATCCTGGTAACAAGGTTCAGCTGGTGGTTACGGTCTGAACTGGCTCCTCCCAGGAACTGGCTTGGCATCTTAATTTTCAGGATGCAGCAGGGAAACAGAGGACTCACGCTGCCAAGCCCCTGATTTCTACCACAGAGCCCCTCGGCCTGGATAACATTCCACATCATCAGCCTGGGAAATGCCTGGCCTCTGTTTAACACCAACTTTCTTTCCTGTGCTTCTCCTGGTATCTAAGTTGACAAACCATACCTCTGACCACTGGCGCCCCAGGAGCCCGGCACATGTCAGATAATGTGGTTGCTCTGAGCTTCCCAGCTGGTGAGCGACCTTTGCCCTTGTCTGCCCTGCGCCTGTTACCCTTTCCAAGAGGCAAGGAAGGCATCCGTCCTCTGGGTTCGGTTTCTTGGACCCCTTTTTCTTCACTGTGCTGCAAACATCCGGGGACGTCACTGCTGCTGCTCCTGAGTTCTTGTGCGAGGGCACAGATGGATACCCTTCTGATCGGCGACCTTGGAGGAAGGGGTTTTGGTGGCTTGGCTCCCATATATCTCCAGAGAGCTCCCCTCCCTCCCTGCTGAAAGATGAAGTCATCCTAAGCTTCCTTTATCCCCTGGTGTCGGAGGCAACGTTCAGAACAGCATCAGCTGGGTGGCAAAGCTCTGACTCCATTCAAGCCGGTCAAGGTGACCCAGCATCTGGCCAGTGCTCTTTGGCAATGTCTTAAAGTGTTCTTGTATGCTTGAAGCCAAGCATCCTGTGGCAGTTCAGGACTGGCAAGTCCTGTCATGCATGTTACGAGTCCATTCCTCACGGTTAGGAGACAGTAAATGAACCTATGGGACGGTGGCCCCTGAAGACTGAAGGGTTCCACTCGGCTCAAAGACAGTGATTGATAGGTGATGTCCACCACACACAAGAAACTGGCACACGGTGCTACATGTTTGATACTTCCAGGCCTTTCTTTTGCCCAGAGGTTGGTTGGGCCCTGGTTCTAGCTTGACCATGAACCTGAAGTCATGATTTCAGATCCCTAGCGCTGGTCTTCATAGACCCATAAGCAAACACACAGAGGGATCCATACACTTTTATCAGGGCTATGTCTATGTTAGTTAACCCTCGCATTGCTTTGTGGGGTAGATAGGTTGTGTGATTCCTGACCTCGTTCTGAAGATGACGACAGTGAAGTTGAATGTGTATCTCAAACGTGACTGAATCTGCACAGCTTCCTTAAAAGAGAAAACACCAGGCTAGGCTCTGGATCAGTCAACGGAGTGTTGACTTGACAGGCACGAAATCCTGAGACTCGGGCACAATGGTTTATACTTTTAAAGCTAACACTCAGGAGACAGATGTACATGGATTTCTGTGAGTTCAAGACCAGCCTGGTCTATATAGCAAATTCCAGGCAAATGAAGGCTGCATAGTGGCTTTTTAAAAAATTTTTCCATGCTATCTTTTTTTAAAGAGGGAAATAGAAGCCTTGGGTTCCATTCCAGGGTGGTGTACAGCTGTGACCCCAGCACTCAGGAATATTAGACGTTCAAGGTCACCTTCAGATATATAGTGAGTTCAAAGCTGACACAGGCCACATGAGACTCCATGAAAGTAGAGAAGAATGTAGAGAGGGGGAGAGAGAGCATAGAGAGAGAGGAGAGGGAGGAGAGAGAGAGGAGAGAGGAGAAGGGAGGAGAGAGTATATAGAGAGAAGATAGAGGGGGATTGTCTGGGTCTTCTTGCTTGTAGAGTTAACAGGGCCAATGGGGATGAACAGTTTGGTGCCTCCAGGCTGCCTTCTTGGAAAAAGCAGAATCTCCAATTTTCCTGGTAGTGGCCTCTGAAAACTGAAGAATGGCAAGTGTAGGCAACTCAGCCGTGGTCACCCAGGCAGGGAATGGTGCCAACTAAGTGAATTCTGGATGTGACTCCTGCCACAGAGGAGACAGAGTCCTCCACAGGGTGTGGCATGGCAGCTCCCACTGAGGGTCAGATGGGCAAGCCTTTCTGTCTGAAGGCATGTGGCCAGAGAAAGCTGGCAATGCCCGCTGTTTCTCCCTTTCCACTCATCTTCTGGCATGTGCAGCTGAGTCCCAAATCAGCTTGGCTGATTTTTCAAAGCCCTAAAAATAGGGTCCCTGCTCTTGTCCAGGAAACTCCAGAAGTAATTTCCCTGTCCCCTTCCTTCAGACACCCGGGAGAGGTCCTTTCTCCAAATAAAACTGTCCTGAAATCCTGGGGAAAGCCCCTGATGGCTTCTCAGGGTGACTTTCCTCAGATAGTTGAGGCCACTGCTGTCCCTAAAAGTATATAAAGCTGTTTCGGATCTGCACACCGTGCAGTCTGACACAAGGACAGTGAGAGTAGGGTTTGGACCGCCTCAGTGACGGGGGAGGAGGAGGGGGAGGAGGAGGAGGAGGAGGAGAGGGTCCCAGCTCAGTGATGCCTTTGGGTGTCCCAGGTCGTGGCAAATGTTTTCCAGCAATGTGCAGCTTGAGCTGAGAAATTTGCAAGCAGTGCCTTTCACTCCGTGGTAAGCTATGGTCTTTCTATGAATTGATCCTCCAGAGGCTCAGGTAGCAGCTACAGTGCGCCTGACTGTAAGCCTTAAACTGCTTTTCGCAAAACCTAAGGAAGATGTTTTGTTTTAAAGAGGTGTCACGGAACGACTCCTGCTCAGACTTGCCTGAGATCCAGAACGGCTGGAAAACCACTTCCCACACAGAGCTTGTCAGGGGAGCCCGGATCACATACCAGTGCGACCCAGGCTATGACATCGTGGGCAGCGACACCCTCACCTGCCAGTGGGACCTGAGTTGGAGCAGTGACCCCCCATTTTGTGAAAAAAGTAAGAGTCATTTTATTTTCTCCCTAAGTCACTGGGTGGAAAGTCCCTCCCAAGGGCACACGTCACGTGGAATCAACCCTACCTGTTTAAGGTAGGAACTGTAGGGACCTTGGCAAGTGAGAGCATGTCCAGTCTGTGTGAAAGGGTGTCTGTAGAGCCAAGCAAAGCAAGTCAAAGCCATCCTGCTCCAGTTCTAAGCTCCCTCCGAAGGCAGTCAGCCTCCTTCCTGCTGACTCCAGGGTGCTGTCCCAGGACCACAGGGCCAAGCATGTGCCCCCTGTTGTGAAAGGGGAATAAGACTTGGAGTAGCCTCTAGCTTCTTGCTGGTGGCATTCAGCAACGGAAGGAGCTAAGCTTAGACCCACCTCCTGCATCAAACTCCCAACCTTGAGGTGACAGTTTATTGTTCCTGTACCAGAAGATTAGATTCAGAACAGCTCAATAATAAGGAGTGTTGGCAGAGGGCCAAGATGATGGGGAAGGGGCAGAGCAGGGACCAGGCCACCTAAGGAAGAAGACAGCAACCACACAACATGGGAAGACCTACTGAAGAGCCACAGTCAGACGCATACACATGTGTGACACCTGCGGGATCTAGCGCATTCATAAGGACACAGGTAGGCAGTGGACAGACAGACAGATGGATGGGTTTATAGACACAAATGGGCCTGGTCTGTGCAGAGGTAAATACTGACATTTTCTATGCAGGTATTTCTCCACATCTCTCCATTTATAGATGCCTGCCCATATCTGTCCATTGATATGTGTGTGCATTCCTAGATGGATATTTACGCAGATGAGAAGGAGTTGTAGGACATATGTTTAGTATACAGTGTGTATAATATACATAATTGTGTATATGTGGTACCTAATATGTATTATATACATAATTGTGTGTGTGTATATATAACTATATATGTGTCATATGACTGTGTCTGTATCTACATAAAAACTATGTCTAGATGGATGATGGATGGATGGACAGATATACGGACAGATAGGAAGGATGGGTAGATGGCTAATGGTCAGATGGACAGAGGACTGACAGTTGGGTGCATAGACAGACAGATGCTTTAAGGCAGAAATAGCGGCAGAAGGGTATCCCACAGTTGTGAACGTGTGTCAGCTGTCCGTACTGAGGGTGGTGGACGTCCTCCCCATCACTCAGGTGTTCACTGCCTTCCTCTTTAATTAGTTCACTGTTTCCCTTTCATCTGTATTGATTTTCTAATTAAAGTGCAATTGACGCTTGTTTCCTAGAGTCAGGCATCACAGAGAGCGGGGCAACCCTTGTTCCTCCCACGCCGGCCACTGCTCGGGATTTCATAGAACAGACGCTCACACTGAGCCCTTCCCTCCCCACTGTGATCGCCCACACACTGTGCTCACCTCAACACTGTGCTCACACACACACTGTGCTCACCTCAACACTGTGCTCACACACACACTGTGCTCACCTCAACACTGTGCTCACACACACACTGTGATCACACACACACTGTGCTCACCTCAACACTGTGCTTACACACACACTGTGATCACACACACACTGTGATCACACACACACTGATCACACACACACTGTGCTTACACACACACTGTGCTCACCTCAACACTGTGCTCACACACACACTGTGATCTCACACACACACTGTGATCACACACACACTGTGATCACACACACACTGATCACACACACACTGTGCTTACACACACACTGTGCTCACCTCAACACTGTGCTCACACACACACTGTGATCTCACACACACACTGTGATCACACACACACTGTGATCACACACACACTGTGATCACACACACACACTGTGATCTCACACACACACTGTGATCACACACACACTGTGATCACACACACACACTGTGATCTCACACACACACTGTGATCACACACACTGTGCTCACACACACTGTAATCACACACACACTGTGATCACACACACACTGTGATCTCACACACACTGTGATCACACACACACTGTGATCACACACACACTGTGATCACACACACACTGTGATCACACACACACTGTGCTCACACACACACTCTGCTCACCTCAACACTGTGCTCACACACACTGTGCTCACACACACACTGTGCTCACACACACACTGTGCTCACACACACACTGTGATCTCACACACACACTGTGATCTCACACACACACTGTGATCACACACACACAGTGATCACACACACACTGTGATCACACACACACTGTGATCACACACACACACTGTGCTCACCCCACACACTGTGCTCACACACATCGTGCTCACCCTCCTCCTCATAGTGCTCCCCACCCATGCTCACTCTTCTCACAATGCTCCCGCCCATCCACCCTCCTCAGTGAAGATCTGTGCCTTGTGTGGGTCTGGGACCTGGTGACAGTCTAGGGGCACACTGGGAAATAAAGTTCAGTTCTCTCCCCTCCTGACCTGCTCTCCAGGCACCAGTGTGAAGCTGTGTGCTGCGACCTCACAGGGCTAGGGGCTGACTCGGGAGGCCTCCTAGATTCTCGGGCGGATCCTGGTGACCCTTGGTGTCACTGTGCCTCCCTGTCTCTTCTCCCGCAGTCATGTACTGCACCGACCCCGGGGAGGTGGAGCACTCCACCCGCCTCATCTCCGACCCGGTGCTACTGGTGGGCACCACCATCCAGTACACCTGCAGCCCCGGGTTCGTGCTCGAAGGGAGCTCCCTTCTCACCTGCTACAGCCGCGAGACGGGGACTCCCATCTGGACATCTCGCCTGCCGCACTGTGTCTGTGAGTCCTGGGTTCACATGGGGGCCATCGCTTCAGGCTTGCTCCCCCTGGGGAGCCTGGGGAGGCATCACGTTGCATGCTTGCGCTGATACCCCTGCACACCACGACAGCTGGCACTGACAGGGCACCTATGCTGACACTTTCAGGTAAACCCTGAAACTCTGTCAGCCCTCTGCCAGGTTTCCCTCACCTCTCTCTGGTTTTCATGTTAGGGGGGTGTCTGGGCCGGGGAGACAGCTCTGCAGATGAAGCACTTGCCTTTCAAGCTCGAGAGCCAGGGTTTGAATCCCCCAGCATCAACTACATGCCTCAGGAGGCAGAGACAAGGGATTCCAGGCTGAGCTTCTAGTTAGACTAGTGGACAGAACTCCCAGTTCAGAGAGAGACGCCTCCTCAGGACAGTGGGAAGTGGTACAGGAAGACATCGGTGTCAACATCAACCTCTGGCCTCCGCACACACATGCATACCTGTGCATGCACAGTCACACACATGTACACCCACGCAATGCCAACATGCATATGCTTGCACAACACATATACATGCAAAAAGAGAGGGGGAGAAAAAGAAAGACGGACACACACACAAACAGAGAGAGAAGGAGAGAGGGACAGAGAGAGAGAAGGAGAGAGGGACGAGAGAGAGAGAGAGAGAGAGAGAGAGAGAGAGAGAGAGAGAGAGAGAGAGAGAGAGAGAGAGAGAGAGAGAGAGAGAGAGAGAGAGAATAAGGAGAATATCCTAAGGCCAAGTGTGGTCCATGCCCTTTAGGGAGGCTGGAGCAGGACTGAGAGTTCTCAGACAGGCTGAGCTTATCTGAGAGGGGGAGGGGAGGGTGCAAGTTTCAGAAAGGCCTTGGCCGCCCTCTAGTTAACAGAGAGTTCAGTTGCAAGGCCAGGCTTCTGATGAGCCCAAGGAGTCCTGTCCACAGCGACTCAGACCAAGACAGTGTGGCCCAGTAGAGGGATTTGCATGTCACTGAAGTTTAAAACAGCTGTGTTCCCAGTACCCATGTCTGGCGGCTCATGAATGCCTGTAACTTTAGCTCTAAGGAATCTGACCCCCTCTTCTGCCCTGATGGCCACACTGGTGACAGACACACAGGCACACGCTTACACTTAAATTCAAACAGTTGGCCATACAGAGACTTTAGAAGAGTAGGCTGGGAGAGATTCACTGGGGGATGTAGGCAGTGAGACTCCAGAAAACACATCTGGGTCTCAGGAGCCTAGGAGACAGCAGAGCCCTGGTAGTAGACAGCTGGTGGCCTGGCTACTCCTCCAGGGGAAATGCATTCTGTGACCTGTCAGCTAGACCTGACCCCTGAGGACTCCAGCAGCAAGAGGGCCCACCAGCAGACAGGCAAAGCCACTGGAAAGCAGGGAGGCCCTGTCCTGGGAGGCTGCTCAATGGCACTGCTGTGAGCCTTGCCTTGGGCAGCGTACTGCTACCTCAACTCCTCTGTTGCTGGAAGGAAAAAAAATCTGAGGTGTGTCACTTCTGGTAAATAGAGAGAAAATGAAGTCCTAGAGGTCTTCCCCTCTCCTCTGCTTATGACCAAGATCCTGCTTGCGTATGCCTATGCATACATGTGCAAATTACAGAGGCTGAGATTCCCAGGGTGCAGTAGCCTGCATTACTATAACTAGACACTTGAGGCAGATTGATTTAGAAAGAAGAAGGGTTCATTGAGACCCCAGTCTGTAGGTTCTATTCCAAGCACAGTTGGTCTGATGCGCATCTTGGCCGGAGTGTGTGGTGAAACAGAGATCTGGGTCCAAGGGTCCCAGCACCTTTAAAAGAACATCTGAGCCAGGCAGTGGTGGCCCATGCCTTTAATCCCAGCACTCGGGAGGAAGAGGCAGGCGGATCTCTGAGTTTGAGGCCAGCCTGGTCTACAAAGCTACACAGAGAAACCTATCTCGCACAGTGGCACCCTGGGGGACAAGCCCTCCACACATGGACCTCTGAGGGACATGCAGCATCAGATGAAGGGGGGCAGCCTCCAGAGCCCTAGGTATGAGCTCCGTTCTCTCCCAGTGACACCCGAGTGCCCAAAACCACCATTCTTACAACCAAAGCTCACCCGGGGTGAGAAGATGGGGAAGGCTAACTCTCTCCAAAGACACCCTCCCCCAGGTCACCGAAGTCCAAAGATCCCCAAGCCTGGAGCCTTCCTCCATTGAGACTCTTGTCAGGTGCAGGATTGAGTGAGCCTGACACCCAGGCTAATGAGCTCACAAGTCACAGCAGGTGCTAGAATGCTCTGGGGAAAACCTTGGGGGAGGGGGAGGGATGGAGCAGCCTCACTGGGGGAGGGGAGAGGAAAAGTTCCTGCTTGTGGTCGCCTGAGGCGAGAGGCTGAAAACCCGGGAACTGATCCAACTCGAGGGCCAGAGTATCACGGGACTCCAGTCATAGCTTGTATAGCTTTGTCCACGTCCTCCTTGTGAGACGCTTGACAAATGGGTTGCCTGGGCCTTGTTTACTTGTCTGTAGCTGTGAGCAGTTGGCAAGGGGTGCAAACTTCCCATCCCGAAAAGTCTGTCTCCACCACTGGGTGAGCAGCTGTGGCAGGTGACTCGTTGGTTCTTTGGTCACAGCTAGGAAGGATGGTGGAATCTGTATCTCCGGGTCACTGGAGGACCCTGTACAGAAAAGATTTCCGAACCATCTGTGGTGGTTGGTGTACACTGGTAATCCCAGCTCTGCTGAGGCAGGAGGATTGTACGGTCAGGGCCATCCTGAGCTGCGTAGCAGCAAGACCCTGCCTTCACACGAAGCTGGCTGCAGGATGCTGCGGCGAGATGGTCTTGACCACTGGGACCTTGGAGACTTAGGATGGCTCTCCTCTGTTCAAAATGAACACCCGAATAATTCAGGCATGAACTAAGTGGAGGATTAGCCCATTGGCCATACTGTGATGTCACCTCTCCTCTGTGGATCCAAGCAGAATTGCTGTCACCTGGGAGACACACCTCTGGATGTATTCGTGCGGCTTTATCTAGAGAGATGACGCAGTCACCATGAACCCTTGATGTGGCGGCACCATCCATGGGCTGAGTAAAAAGGGGGTTTTGTGTCTCTGCCTCCCGACTGTGGGCCAAGCGTGACATGCTGCTGCCTCGTCAGACCCCTGCCACGCCCCTGCCACGCCCCTGCCACGCCCCTGCCACCATGCTTTCCCACACCCCAGTGGGCTGCACCCTCAACTGTGAGACGGATAGACCCAGCCTTCCTGAGCCACTCGGGGATTGTGTCAGAAAACGAGTAGCAAATTTGCCAAAGTGAACTGTAGATCTTACTGGACCTTTCAGAACAACACCCCGCAGCCAGCATGGCAGCCCACGCCCGCGATCCCAGCATGCACGCGGGCTGAGGCAAGAGGGCTGAGGAGTCATTTGTTCCTGAAAGGAGTGTAGAGAACTCTCCTGGGGTGCTACTGCCATCTGCTGGTCGCTTCTGGGTACTGCAGGGATTGCGTGGGGGCTGTCCAGGTGTCCCCTCTGTTCCGGGAGGATGGGGATCAGATCCTCCTCGGTGCTGAATGCTGCTGAGAGAACAGAGCAGAAACCTGCTCACCGCCTCCACTCCAGCCGGATCCCAGAACAGGCCTGGTACAGACAGTGTTCACATCAGCTGTCTGCCGAGCCGAGGAGCGCACATCTGGTAGTGGCTGCAGGACTTCAGGCCAGCAGGGCTTGGTGAACTCGCTTCATGAAGTTATCACTCACTTCATCTGGCTAAGCAAACCAGAAAGAGCAGAGCCGACATTTAGACTGGGCATCGCAGCACATGCTTGTCTGCTCCTCCTTGGACAGAGCTGAAGCAAGCTCATGAGTTCAAGGCCAACCTGAACTAGAGTGAGACCCCGTCATAAAACAACCTGAACTAGAGTGAGACCCCGTCATAAAACAAAACAAAGGCTAGGGAAGTAACTCACTGGTCAAGCGTCTGTTTAGAGTACCTAAGACCCAGAAAAGAAACGAAAACTTAGATTAAATTTAAAAGTCCTCCCTCCCACAAGCCCTGGCTGGCTCTTCAGGGGTTAGCATGCCTTGCTGTGCAGGTCTCATCCATGGATGTGCAATGCAAGGAGTCTGGAGATTTCCCAGGAGGCACTGTGGCATGACTGTGGACTCGGCTGCAAGTCTCGAACTATGGGCAGAGCCAAAGGCAAAGTCGACGTCTATGGGTGACCTACATCTCCGGTGACTGTAGCATTGGCCAAGCCTGGCTCTCATGAGCCACTCTCGGGAGCTGATTGGAAAGGGACTCTGCGCTGGCCTGCACCCCTGCCACTGCTGTGGCGCCCCGCCTCTCGTGGAAGGAGGGTCCCGGAGCCCAGGAGGCTGCGTCTGTCTCCTCCCACATGTGTGGCTGGTGGACTCCTGAGAGCATGGGTGAATACCTCCTCAAGGGCGGGGTACCCAGTGACCCACCCTACCATCTCTGCAGGTCCCACAGCTGGGCAAGGCTCCGGGAAGCAGGGCCTGCCTGGACATGCCCACACTGTCACTGTCATCTGAGATACACAAGCCTCTTGGGCGGCGGCCAGGAAGGGCCCTTTCTGCTGATCCTCTACCGTGAGCCTCTGGCCTCAGTTTCGTGGGGCCAGGCTTGGATTTGCTTAATGACCTCGGTGAACAACACTGTGAGGATGAAATGCCGTCTCAAGGAGCAATTCCGTAGGGGAGAGGGTTGGTTCTGGTTCACAGTGGAGGGGCCGCCGTCCAGCATGGCGGGGTTGGAGGAGAAGGGAGGGCGGGACCAGTTAGGCTGACTGGCTGACCACATACATCTGCACTCAGGAAGCAGAGAGGGAACGGGAAATGGGGGTGGGGTCACATACATCTGCACTCAGGAAGCAGAGAGGGAACGGGAAACGGCACCAGGCTAGGAAACCTCAAGGCCCGCCCCCAAAGATATACATTGTCCAGTGAGGCTTCACTCAAAGGTTCAAGGACCTTCATACTCAGTGCTCCCAGCCAGGCGACAAGTGCTCCATCCCAATCAGTGCTCCCAGCCAGGCAACAAGTGCTCCATCCCAATCAGTGCTCCCAGCCAGGCGACAAGTGCTCCATCCCAATCAGTGCTCCCAGCCAGGCGACAAGTGCTCCGTCCCAATCAGTGCTCCCAGCCAGGCGACAAGTGCTCCATCCCAATCAGTGCTCCCAGCCAGGCGACAAATGCTCCGTCACATGAGCCTGCAGGTGACACTCTGCAGCGTCATTCAGGCTACAGCATACCTCATTTTTGCGTGCTGTCCCATGGTAACTATGCAGGGTATGTTAGTTGACAACTGAGTGTTTCCTGTCAACCAAACCCTGTGCTGGGCACTGGGACCCTGCATGAGCACGGGATAACATTGAGCTCCAGGAAGGAGGAGCATTGGCGAGAGCCCACACACCAACGCCGCCACCCACCTCCACACACAGTGCTCCAAGGGCATTGAAATCCCCAGGGGACAGAGCCGGGTCAGCAAGGGGTCTTTAGATGATGCAGTCTACAAAAGAGGAGGCAATGCTGTTTCAAGCCCTTGCTGTGGGTCACAAGTCTGGGGTCTTCGCGGGCCCCTCAGCCTGTACTATGTGGACCCGTCTAGGTGGCAGCGACACCACCGCCAGGTGTCTCACCCCCCCCCCAATCGGGGCTGCGTTTGCGAGAAAGGAAGGAAGGGAGGGAGGGAGGAAGGAAGGGAGGAAGGAAGGAAGGAAGGAAGGAAGGAAGCAAGGAAGGAAGGAAGGAAGGAAGGAAGCAAGGAAGGAAGCAAGGAAGCAAGGAAGGAAGAAAGGAAGGAAGGAGGGAAGGAAGGAAGCAAGGAAGGAAGAAAGGAAGGAAGGAAGGAAGGAAGGAGTGCCCATCTCAGGCAGCGCCATCACAGGGGAGGTGTCCCAATCCTCCTGCCAGGCTCACAGCTGGAAGCGAGTCTTGGGGTCCTGGCCATACTCAGGGGTCAGATCCAGGAGGCAGAGACCACACAGCATCTCCACATCTGTTTGTGGAGCTCGCCTGTGACGAGGGAAGAGAGAACATGCAGGGAGAGAGAGGGGAGAGAGAGAAAGAGAGACAGAGACAGAGAGACAGAGAGAGAGGAGAGAGGGCAGGGAGAGGGAGCGAGCGCCCTTCGTATGTGCAGTGTGAGGTAGGCGCATGCGTGTAGTGTGAGGTAGGCACACGTGTGTAGTGTGAGGTAGGTGCACGCGTGTAGTGTGAGGTAGGCACACGTGTGCAGTGTGAGGTAGACACACGTGTGCTGCAGGGGAGGGAGATGAAGAGGCCCGGGGGACAGTTAAGAGCAGGCACCAAATGCTTCCGGGTCCTGCGGGTCTCCTGAGACCGGCCTGGGGACTGGGTTTGAGAAGACGGGTCACACTTGGAAGGTGGCAGCCTAAGCCGCAGGCTCGCCTCGGGTCTCTTCTCTCCTGAGGCTTGCTCACCTAAGGGCGCTTGATGAAGTTCGCTCCCTGTCACCTTTCCAGACGCTGAGCTGCTGGTGCAGGAAGAAACACCTGAAGCCAGAGTGCGACCCCACTAGGGGGGCTCTGTGGAAACCTGTGTGCCTCATTAGTGAGAACCCAGCATGGGGTCGCCTGTGTCCAAGAAAGTCAAAATGGGGGCTACCCTGGGTTCTAGGTGTCTACCCCAAGAACCAGAAGTGGAGCTCAGCCGGGCTCGCACACTCACGGTGAAGTCAGCGCTGTTCACATTAGCCTACCAGCGTGGGTAAGCCATGTGTCCACCGATGGGGCACAGGGCACAATCTGCTCATCCATGGAAAACCACGCATCCTTAGCAACCGAAGCGCGTATGACACAAAGGAGACTCGAGGACCTTTGCTAAGTGAAACAGGCCGTTCCTCCCAGAGTTCAGTCACACCTGTGGGAATCCCTACCTTCCTGGGGTTCTCAGAGACTGGGAGCAGGAAGCCGGAGACTCCAGCAAGGTGCGCCGGGTCCTAGAGGTCAGCTGTTCGCGGCAGAGTCGGTAACCCTTGTGAAGAGTTGGCCACAATTTATCCACTTGTGAATGTGTCAGCATTTGTGTTGCTGAGCGATGTTTGCTGGCTGTCACCCAGGGTCAAATGGCTCACCCAGCAAGTTCCACGCTAGGTCTCCCAGGACTTGGCATCTGCAGTACCCAGGAGCAGCCACCAGGGGGAGTGTGAACCTATTGGTTGCGGTCACTTAAGGCTCTTGGCATTTGGTTCCACTGACTAGTCTCAGGAGAGACAAATGTCCTGAATAATGCAGCATTTTTCAGTGTGGGGCACTGCGGGGCGGAAGAAGAAAACACTAGAAATCTGGTGGCAGGTGGCAGAGAGGAAAGGTTCCTGGAGGAGAAATGATGGGAGATGGAGACCAGACCTGGACATGACAGATGGGCTCTGGAGGAGTGGACTATCTTTTTAATCGATCACCACCAAGATCCACCACTTACTGAACATCCTCCACATGACAAGGACATTCTCCACCTCTTACATCCATTCTCCTATGAGTCCTGCAGTCATATTCCCATTTGCTAAGAGGAACATTGAAGATCAGAGAGGGTGTAATACTTTCTGGAGGTCACACAGCTATAAGAGAACTGAGATTTCTTTAACCTGATTCCACAACCCTATTCATTCTGGGGTGCTCACGTGTAGTGTATATCCAGAGATGGGAGAGGGAATGACACGGGAACCACCTGGGTGGGGCTCTGCAGAGGGGATGCTGCGGGGTGAGCTGGGTCACCCAGAGACTGGTACTGAGTCTGAGACAGACTCTCAGAGCCCGTGTCCGGCTTCTTTCAGCTGAGGAGTCCCTGGCATGTGACAACCCAGGGCTGCCGGAGAATGGGTACCAGATCCTGTACAAGCGGCTGTACCTGCCTGGAGAGTCCCTCACCTTCATGTGCTACGAGGGCTTCGAGCTCATGGGCGAAGTGACCATCCGCTGCATTCTGGGACAGCCGTCCCATTGGAGCGGGCCCCTGCCCATCTGCAAAGGTAAAGACAGCCGAGGAGCCAGAGTCAGGGTTGGCTCCAGGAGAAGCTGGACACGCTCTGCGGGTGGGGCTCTGTGGCTTTGTGGAGCCCAGCAGAGCCTATCGGTCTGTTTTCTTCCTTTCGTTCATACCTTTGTTTCTTGAGGCAGGGCCTCGCATAACCCAGGCCAGCCTCGAACTTCACTTGTAGCCAAGACTGGCCTTGAACTCGAGAGCCCCCCCCCCCGCCTCCATCTCTCAGGTTCTGGGGTTGCAGGTGTGCACCACCACACCCATTCTTGGTCCCCTTTTTGTTACTCTAACAAAATACCTGAGAACAGACAGTTAATAAAGAATGAAGTCTATTTGGTTCAGGGTTGCGGAGGCCGAGACTCCAAAGCAGAACTCTGCACCTGTGGGGGCACCCATGCTGCCTGTGGACATGGCAGGGACAGAGAGAGCGTGCCAGCCCTTACAGAGCCAAGCCCAGTCACTGCCCAAAGCACCCCCCAGCAACATCAATCTATGAATCTGGGGACTAATTCTCTAGCTGGGGGCACCTTTGGAGGACGGCAGCTAGCTAGCATCTTAGCCGGGGTTGTTGCCACTGCTCTGTGGTGAGCTCAATTAGTCGAAGTGTAACCAAATGTCCTGGGAGCTGCCAGAACATAAATGCAGGGTGGCCTGCGTGGCCTGGCCACTATCGGTGCCATCTTCCCACTTAAACCTTGGCTCTCAGGCTCTGCCTCTGGGAATGCCCTGGTCTGGGCAGTTCGGGGCTCAGCTAGCATGGTGTCTTTGGTGACAGAGCACAGGATATCATCCCTGGTACCCTGAACCTCGGGGCTTTGTAAGAAGTACGGGTTTATGAGAATAGCTTTATATAGAGTGCAGAACCAGTCGATAAATGTGGGTGGCAGATGTAGTGCAAAGGCCAGAGCCAGTTCACCCCAGCTGCAGTTGGGGGGGGGTCTCAGTCACACCTCCCTGCAAACAATCTACAGCATTGGTCTCAAGAAAAACTAATAGAGGTGGTATGGGGGCCCGCAACCATCTTTGTAGCAACTGGGGGTCTGACACTAGACGTTCAAGCCCAGCACAAGAGGCTGTGTCAAAACAAAACAACAACAAAGAAAAAAGCAAAACAAGTTAAGAGCTGTGAAAGAAACTGAAGCCTCTGGGTTGCAATCCCATGCTCACGGCTGAGGAGCTGTGTGATGGGGGCGGGGGTGGGGGGACTCTCTGCAGTCCCCTGAACCCACTGACTCATCTATGAAATGTGGGTAATAATCAACAATTCCACGTGCCGCAGGAGACTGGCAAGGGCTGGGTGGAAGTGTGCACGAGCGCTTGTCACAATACGGAACACATGGCGTCACCACCGTGAGGCCGTGGCTGCTCACCCACCTCTCCTCTCACTGTCTTGGGGTGGGGGGTGCTGTGGGGGGGAGCCGTCCCGCACAACACCAGCAGCGCCACCCTCACACCGCACACCCTGGGCTTTGGGATGTAGGCCCGTCGTCTTCTCCTTGTGCAAGCAATGAACTCCCTTGGTGTTAATGCTGCTTCCTGTTTTCTGTTTCAGTTAATCAAGACAGTTTTGAACACGCACTAGAAGGTGAGTTTTACTCTATCTTGAAAGTTCCGATACCTTGGGTGGCTGTGTCGTTAGCTTTTCCTGGGGTCGTCCAAAGGTGACTACCAGGGATGGAGAGAAGGCTAGGCAGTTAAGAGTGAGCTGCTCTCACAGAGAATCTGTGTTCTGCTCCCAGCACCCACGTCAGGTGACTCACAACCACCTGTAACTCCAGCTCCGGGAGAATCCAATGCTGTCTTCTGGCCTCTGTGGGCACCTGCACTTATGTGGCGTGGACATACACACACACACACACACACACACACCCCCACATATGAACACATACGCACACTTGCACGAAGAGAGAGAAGAAACAATAATAAAAGCATTTTCAACTGAATCTCTAAGCATAACCTGAAGTGATTTGACTGTGGCAATGCAATCAGAGAAACCTGAGAAGCCCCGGGCCTGCCAGACAGCGTCCACCACACAGGTGCTGTGGGGATAAAAACAGCCTCACCTCACATCCTGGGCAGAGCACCCTCTGATTGCTGAGTAAAAGCTGCTGGGAGCATCCAGGGCCCTGCCTCCTCCCTTCTGCCTCCACTCCTGGACACAGGCTCCTCCCCCTCCCCTCCCCCTCTTCCCCTTCCCCTCCCCCTCTCCAGAGGGTGCTTTGTGGGACAACAGCTAGCCAGGTTCTCTCGCTTTTTAGATTCCTTCCTCTGTTCCTTGTCTTAGTTCCTTGTCTCCTTGCTATAACAAGACACCCGCCAAAGGCAGCTTAAGGCAGGAAGTGGTTGCTGTGGCTCACCGGTCCAGGGCACAGTCTGTCGTGGAAGGGGAGGCACGATGGCAGGAGAATGAGGCAGCTATTGGCAGGAAGCAGGGACAAACACTGGTGCTCAGCTCACTTTCTCCCCACCTCACTTAGAACGTTCCAGATATCTCACACCCAGAGGTGTGCCTCCTAGGTGCACACACCTCCCCCTGATCCAGTCAGGGCAGCTGTGAAGACGAACCCCCCCCCCCATACACATGCAGCAGTCTGCCTTGTGCACGGTGTCCGTTCAACGCAGTTGCAGGACCGTGGACACAGATGACGATGACCTGTTTGTCTCAGTTAGAAAAAGCCTTAACGGGTTCGACGGCTGTTCCCGTTCTCTCTAGCACCATTAGCATCGCTCTGACAACATGGCTGAGTATCAGACTGTGTGAGTGACAGGTCATTAGCTGATTTCACTTTGATCCAGCAAGTAGAGCAGGGAACAAAGATTAAATGTTGGGAGAATAATGGGTCAACTGTTCATGGGAAACAGGGTGCCCCATGGTGTCCCTCTGACTGGGAATCCCTGGCTGCCTCTTACTGCTCAGTGAGCAGTGAGAAGCCACCCAAGGGCCCTGTGCTCAGGAAGCATGAACAAAGCCAGAGTCCTGGCTGTGCACACTCATTGTGGAAGTCAGGATTGGCGGGACATGACCACAGAAAATGGCAGAGGAGGTCAAGCTTCTAGAATGTGAGGGGGGGAGGTTCACCCTGAAATAGTGCTGAGCAAGTGCCCCCAGCCACCAAGTTATCTGCCATGATCTCTACAGTCACCACATGCCTGGAGGCAATTGCCCTGAGCCATCCCTGTGTGGCACCCCACTGGCAAGCTCTAGAAGCTTCCCCAGCCTGGTGCAGCTGCTCACAGAGGTGGCCAGAGAGCAAGGGAGATTGTTCCTGAACCATGTACAAGTCGCCCCCTGAGTTGAATTGTAGCCAGATTTCTGCTCTCTCCCCAGCCCTCCAATGGGCCTGGAATGACCAGGGTACAAACTGGTCTCAGCCACCCTCCACCCACCTTTGCCAAGGGTGACTCTGGGCTGCCTAGCAAGGGTCAGCAACCCAGCCCCTGCTCTCTGCCTCCGTCCCTCCATCACTCCATGACTCTCCAGTGTCTAAGTCTGTGGGATTTCAGCTGGGGTGGGGCACCCACTTGAGAGCCAGGCTCCCGGTGGGTGTGGAGCTGGTGGGAGACAAGGGCCTCAGGGGCTTGTGTGCTCAGTAGCAGAAGCGGCAGCAGAGTCCTCGCTGGAAGGTGGGAACATGGCACTGGCCATCTTCATTCCGGTCCTTCTCATCTCCTTGCTGCTGGGAGGAGCCTACATCTACGTCACAAGGTAGGTGGAGTCATGCAGCTATGAACTGGGGCCTCCACATCTCTGCCTGGCTCTTGGATATAGTGGTCTCATGTGATCTGGGGCGCTGTGGCCAGAATCCGGTAGCATCTTGGTGTCTCCCAGTCATTCCTCCATTTACTGTCACTTAGCAAATGCACAGTCATGTGCCATGATCCTGGGGTGTGATCCTGGGTGCTGAAGGTCACAGCACTTGCCCTCGATGGACAGAAAGCCACATCCAGAACAGTCATAGGCACATCCACTGCTCGGTAACAGAACTGCGGCCGTGTGTGAGCCAGCAGCCTCTGGGCTCTGTGAACATTCTAGTGAATAAACCAGATCCTAGTGAGAAAAAAAAGTAGCTGATCTCCAAAGCACAGAGGGAAAGCAAATGCCAGGTTGGTGACCAACAGAAGAAAGCCCGGGAGAGAACGTGAAGGCTCTGGAACAGAGGTTGTGTGCTTGGGTAGAGTAGCTAGGAGAAGCTGCATTGGGTACCGCTTTTGAACAAACTTTAAAGTGATAGTGCGTGAACTGGGAGACCAGTAGACAGAGAACAATGTGTGAGAGAGACCCTGGTAGACTTCATCCTTGCACTCTGCAGTGCAATGAGTGATGAGGCTTGGTCCAGGGAGGCAGAGGAGAGTAAATAGACACAGAAATTGCTTCACAAGTCAAAGCAATTTGGGCTCCTCCTTCCCAGGGAGGAAGGTGGCAAGGCTGGCTCGCTACAGCCCCATGGGGTGTTGAGTGGAGGGTACTTGCCCTCAGTGGGACTCTCACTAGCTCATGGCTGTGTCCATGTACCCCATGCCCTTTACAGAGACTTCTGCAGAACCTTGGGGGCAGCAGGACAGGGGTGCAACTCACGCTCTGCTGTTTGTCCTGCAGGTGCCGACAATACTCCAGCCTCCGCCTGCCCCTCATGTACTCCCACCCTTACAGCCAGATCACCGTGGAAACTGAGTTCGACAACCCCATCTATGAGACTGGGGTAAGTTGTACCACTGGTCTCCTGGGGGGCTCCCCATTGCCCACAGCATGGCTGGCAGAGGGACCACTGGGCAGTCCTGCCTCTTTGCTACCAAATCCCCTACTGAGCCGGGTGATGGGAGAAGACAGCTTGTTCACCAGTGATTAGAGCCAAGTTGGGGCATCGAGAGGAAGCTGCTGTGTCTAAGTGAGTCCCACCTTTTAAAGGCAGCAAGGCCCATTCTGCACCTTGCAGTGCCAGCTCCTGTGGGACAGCTGGGCATGGTACTGATGCTATAGCCGTGCCTCACTTACAGACAGGCATATGATCTAAGAGTGTCCCCTGACCTCCTTGTCAGGAAAACGTCACAGAGCACTTGCCCAAGAACCTGGATGGCCCAGGCCACTCACTCCTTGGGGCCTCAAGAGTTAAACTAGAGATGCATGGTATGCGGCCTTATGTGACTTGCCTTTTAAGTCGACTTCTGTGAGTAGGGTGAGCAGTGTAAACACAGGGAACAATGGATTTCAGGCAGCAATGGCAGGGGTTCCCTGTCCTCTTAGTGCACCGGGCAGGCGTATCTGCATGTGCTGGGATTGTGCACGAGAGACAGGCACCACAGCCTGGCCGCTGGCTCCCAAGTGCTGTGGTGGGTGACTATGTCCACATTAGGCAGTGGAGCTCTTTCAGCTCTGGCAGAACCTTCCAGGACTACCAGAAAATGCAGCCATGATCGTAAAGCCGGCTACAGGTGCAATCTCTCACTCCAGAGAGCTCCAATGCCTGGAAGGGCACACAGGCATCAACTCTGGTGTGTGGTGTGCCACATGACAGGCATATGACCCTCAGACACTACCCTGTGACTCATGGGGACATGGAGGTCCAGTAAGATGAAAGTGACTCAGGCAAGGCTGTACCCAGCCAGGCGGAAGGAGGCCATCTTGACTTGACATCCTAAGCCTTCATGCTCTCCTGCCTCCATCAAACGTGTCCATGGTTATGATTAACTATCACTCTGGAGGACCACGAAAAGTAGCCAGGTTCTATGGCTGCGTGATGGGGAGACTTGAGAGGGTTGGAAGCACTGTTGGAGGAAGAGTTCGTAAAACTGAGATACAGATGTGTGTAACAGTTAGATGACAGCTGCAGAACGTGCAGATGGGGTGTGTGACAAGGTCCAAGCATGCGTACGGGGAGCCACCAGGCTTTGTGACATCTCTGCCCTCACTCAAGTCATCGTGCCATGGCATATCCCTGCTGTTAGAAAACGGGTAAACCTGTCGCTTGTCCACATGGCCCTGGCCTCGTTCCTCCTCCTTTGATCTCCTGTGTGAAATCTCTCCTATATAAACACTCCACTCTGGCGCTCACAAGCCATAGCCGCAGACTCACCAAGGCTTAACCTGGAAATGATCCTCGCCACCCTGGCTCCCATGGTTGCTTAGAGCAACTTAGACAGGGAAACTTGGGGATAGTAACAGGGAAAGAGGCAGTCTACTGACAGAGATGAACGATCTTGGAAATGAGCCAGAGTCAATTGGCCGCCCATGACCTCTGACTTGTGCTTTTCCGTATTGGAGGAGTTCTCTGCATAGGGTGCTTTGTTCCCTGAAGCCTAGGGAGGCCTTGTAGTCCTCTGATCTTGGCTTCTTTCATGTCTGTCTTGATGCCTCTGGAATTTCCCTCCTCCCCCACCCTGCCTAGCCTCCTACCTACCCAGGCATGAGCTTTGGAAGGTGGGGACAATGGCAAGGAACTACCTTACACTGTTTTTCATGGTACTTCCCATCTGCCAAGAAGTGTTGATGTGATCGTCATTGCTGTGTTAGCATCCCAGCAAGTAACAGTGACACTTCCAAGGTGGAGCCTATGATTTCATTGGCTCCTGACCCTCACCCCTGGGACTGGCTTGGGGAGCAGTGGAGAAAGGTGATCAGCCACAACTGGTGGAGATGGCATTCAAGGGATGGGTTTGATGAGGGAGGTCAATACAATATGGAAATTAATATATTTATTTACCAGAGAAAGAACTTACACGCAAGCTGGGAGATCAGAAGCATGGCAGGCTTCCAAGAGAGAGAGAGCTTTTCCTTTTCCTTTCCTTAAATATCTCACCTGTGCCCATCCCCCGTCCCCACCCCTTTGGGCGTGGACGGCATTGTGGGCTCACCCCTACATGGGTTCATATTGATCTGAGGAGAGGGAGGAGCTCCAATTACCTGCAAGTCAGAGCACACACTCCTTAGTCTGCCCGCTACAGCGGGAGGTGCTAGCGTCAGTGGGGTGGGACTCCTAGAGGACCAGCTGTTGTGGGGTCCATGCTTGTCCTTTATCACCCCTATGATCACAATGTTGGCAGAGGGTCAGGCCCCAGAAAATGCCACAGCAGTGTGTGCATGTACCCGTGCGTGACACACAAGCACTTGTAACAGTGAATAGGCAGAGCAGACCCACAGTGCAGAGCCATGGGGCCGGGGCCAGGGCCACCACAGGGAGGTATGATACCCTGGACAACTTGGAATGTGGCTCTGCCACTCTTAACCCATCTGCGCCACTCTGTCCTGCAGGAAACGAGAGAGTACGAAGTCTCCATCTAACAAGAGCTGCCCTGGAAAGGGGGACTTTAGAGATGGACATGCAGACGTGAACTGTCGGGACCTCCTCGGAAATCCATCAGAGACCTCGTGGCGTTGGGCTGTAGCCCGTGGTGGCAGCCATCTTTTCCTCTACACTTCTGACTCAAATGTTCACTGTTTCTCCGCACTACTTACTATATTTAAAATGGAAGGTATTTTAAATTGAAATCGGTGAGTTTGGTACATTGGGGGGGGACGCTGCGGCCAAGGTCACGTGACCGCCTCTGCTCCCAAGGCAAACCAAGTGGCAAAGGGCAGCAGGTATCAACACAGCAAGCAGGTCGAGTTGGACCGGGAGTGCCAAGCCTGGGCTGCACCGCCCTGCATGGTCTTCAGCAGCAGGCCACAGCGTACTTGGTATAAACAGAAGCCCCAGGGTTATCAGAGTGTCTCTTGCGGGGCTGCCTTGGAGTACTTAAGCCCGGCTATTTCTCCTCCAAAAACAAAACCTGTGTCCTCTTTTCCAATGTTATAAGTGTCTAAAAGGTCGCAGCCTGTCCTCTCCCTCCACGGCTTCCAAAGGCAGCAAAGATTCTCTAAGTATCCCCTGGGCTCAGGCAACACTGATCGCGTTAGAAAGCAGCCCCTCTCTTAAAGGTGATAAGCCCCAAGGAGGACTGTCAGGGATGAGGCACAGGGATCCTGGGTAAGAGGCATGGGTACCAGATGAGCTGTGTACTGGAACCCACCTCGGCTTAGCAAGGTCACCCTAAGGCTAGGGTTTTCAATCCACTGGCAGCTTGGACTACATAGTCACAGGTCTGTTGGGGAAGGGGGGCTGAGGGAGGGGGCCACGAAGGAGCGGGCATCCCTGACCTGAAAAACAGGGATCAGCTCTGATTGCCATCTGGGGTTCTAGGATGTCTTTGACGTAGGTGAGACTGAAGTAGGGAAGATATTACCTCCAGCTCCCTTTGCTCTCACATGCTTTGTCAGGAAGAACAAACTCCTCCCTGGCCTCTGAGGCTCTGAGTCCTGGGAGAACGTCAGTGCCCAGGCAGATGCCCTGTGTGCAGAGCAGGGTGGAAACCCACAGGAGAACAAGGCACAAGGCCCAGCTTGAACCTCAGTAAAATGTTTCCAAACGACAGGCCCTCCCCAGCCTTCATCTACTCTGTGATCAGGGTCCTTCAAACCACTATCCAGTGCAACCAGAGACCATGGCTATCCAGAAGTTTATTTTCTAAATACAATCGTGAGGAAAGGTGCCGGGGTTAGGTGCTGGAGAGAACAGCAGGTATGAGGGGTGGCAGTGATCGTGTACAGACCATGTGGTGACCAGGAGGAGACTGGTCTTCCTCCAAGAAAGCCCCTGCATGCATATGCTCGACCACTGTGGCTAGGGGTTTCAAACCACCCAGCCCATCTGCCCACAAAGAAGCCAGAGGAGAAACCACAGGACATTTTGGGGGAAAGACCCCACTACAAATGATGTGAGCTCTCTCCCAGAGGCAGAACCTATTTGAGACGAATCCAGCCCCAGCCCTGTCACCTTTGAACCTGTCCATAACGTTTGATTTTAGTTCACTCTCTGGCCCTGTGGAAACTAAGTCCTTGCCTTCTGTAAGGTCTGAGTGTGTGAGGCCCCTCTAACCCTGCTCCCTAAAGCTGACCTGGCCATGCCTGGGTTGTCTCTTGGCTATTGGGTAGGTATAAAAAAATGTTGATTTGTTTTTGCAGGAGACCAATGTCTTAGTTCTGTCTTGGTGGTACAGTCTCAGTAACCATGTTTTAAAATGTATTCTAGCCTAGAGTTGGATCATACGAGCTCTCAGTGTGCAATGATTGAAAGGGTGTGACGATGTCTAGTTTTTTTTTTAAATATCTGACTGTGTATTTGTAACATGTAAAGGTTTGAAAAAAAAACAAAAAACAAGGATGCTACCAGTGCCGAATATATACAAAGTATCCCATCACCACTACAGCCGTGCGGAATATATACAAGGTATCTCATCACGGCAGGTCCCTGTCTGTTTTTACAAGATGGAAATTTGAACCCATGGGGATTAAATATTTTTTGAACTGGATACACTCGTGAACCCTCCCGCAAGCAGTTCCCCTTTCTGAAGTCAGTGGGGGAAACACGTTTACAAAGTGCAGGCTTCCAGAATGTGTGCATCCTTCATGCTGATCCACGCAGGCTCTACCTGGCTCCTCCCTCTTCTGCCTGGAGCTCGTCTTCCCCTTTAGCTTCCTTTTTGGTAGACTCACTTTGCCAGCCTAAGTATCCTGACCTCTGTCTGGATGCCATCTTTCCAAGCAATCCCACCCCGAGCCTTTGAAACCAGCTTTTGGAGAATTCACAAACCTCAGGGGACAACTCTGGAAATCTACATACAGCCCTGGAGAAAGAAAGGGGTTACAGCCAGAATGGTGGCACCACAGGAACTCCAACGAACCAATGGATAGCTTCAGAAACCGTAGGTAAAACGACGTCTCCTTTGGGCATGACCTTTCTGTGTCTTGGATAAGGCCCAGGCTCAGTGAGATGGCACTCCAGGTTCGGTCTTGTGTGGCACTCAGCACCCACAGAGGTAGGCGTCTTCTCAGATGCTTGCTTTTTCATTTATCATCAAACAGAATAAAAAAAAGCAAACTTTCTAAGCTAGAAAAATGAAATCATTTTCCACTTTGTATATATTGCTGCTAATAAAACAGATGTAAAAGAGTGGAGGGTGTGGATTTTGTTCCCAAGTCTCCAGCGTGACACCAAGGGCTGTATTTTCCAGCTTCTAAGGGTTGAGGTGAGATACTTCAGATGCTAACACAAGACTTGCCCTCTCTGCAATGGTCCTAGGCATGTTTTAAGGGATGTTTAGAACAAGACCTGTCTGGAGAACTGCTACCAACACAGCCAGGACTCCAGTCTCGGGCAGTTTCCACAAGAGAGACCTACCTCTCTGAGCTATGGAGGCTGCAGGTTCAACATCAATATGCTGGCCTGTGCAGTTCCTGGTGGAGATTCTTGTTCTGACTTGATGGGGCCCCTTTAAGATGCAGGCTCTATATAGCTAAGGGGAGTAGAGAGAGAAAAGGGGGGGGGAACAAAGGAGGGGAAATGTGCTGGTCCCAGGAAAATCCATCCCAGTAGATCCCAAGGCTCAGGCATGATCTGCTTCCTCAGTCCTATAGGCCCCCCCAGGGCAGGACAGCATCACCCCCATAGCTCTGTAACAGGCTGGCCCATTCCCACACTCCCTGACTCTGAGTACCAAAGGAGAAAATGAAGTTAATGGTCCAGGGCCAGTGATGTGGTTCATTGGTAGAGGTGTTGCCACCAAGCCTGATGGTTTGAATCTGATCCTGGGACCCACAAGGTAGGAGAAAACTAACTCTAGCTCTGCTCTGACCTTCTCATGCATGTTATGAGTCCCCGCACACATGGCAAACAATCACACAAAAAGTAAGTATAATTTAATATTTTTTCAATAAACCAAAAATTTCAAAACAATCCATGAAGATAAACATTTTCCTTTCTGGCAATAATACATTTGAGTACTAGATAATTTTCAGCTGTGTTTTTCAAAAGAGGATTCCAGAGGAAATTTCTAAGAGGAAAAGGGGTGGGGACATGTTCCTGTAATCCACCACAGGGAGGCCAATGGAGGCAGGATTCCTTACTCAAGTCTTTCCTGGGCTACATAGTAAGACTGTGTCTCAAATAATCAAACCAAACAAAAAGTTTCCAAAGATTACAAAGTTTTCAATTCATGTATCTGAAGTCAGTAGACTTCCTCAGTAAACATGAATAAAGAAATGTGTTTGTTCCTACGTCCCCAATGTCTGTGTGTTTGTTGTTTGTTCCTTTGTGGAGACAAGGTATCCCTCAGCCATGAGCCACAGTCAGCACAGCCTCAGAGGGTGGGCTGTGGTTTCATTCATATCAATTGTTACCCGTTTCCCAGTCTGCCTTGGGACCCCCACCCCACCCACATACACACACATCTTCTGGTCAACAAGTCTCTGTAGAGTCAACCTGAATGGATGGGGTACACAGTGTTCTAGGAGAGTGAATTACCTGAAGAGGAGGCAGACATGGCCGCTCCAATTCCAACCCCCTTTCTCTCTACCTTAACCCACCCATGTGCCTGATGGGAGATGCCCTTCTATATATATGTATGTTTCTATTATTGGTTGATGAATAAAACACTGATTGGCTTCTTGGCCATGTAAGAAGTGTAGGAAAAAGGGGCCAGCTAAAGAAACACACCATAAGCAGAGCCAAAGGAACACACTTTGTTCCTGGAATCAGAGCCAGTGAAAGAAATGCACCCTGGCCCTAAAACTAGAGCCAAAAAACTAAAAAGGACCAGTGAAAGAAACATACTTTGGCTCTGAAGCTGGAGTCAAATCGGACCCTAACCAGTGCAGAAAACTAGCCAATCCCTGAGCAGGAGATTGAAATCTGACCAATCCCCACCCTGGAAACACTTCCCCCGCCCCCAAGAATTCCTATATAAATCCTGTGTCTGTTCAGCTTGTGACTGTTCGTGCTACCCAGCTGTCCTCTGCCACAGTGGATTCTCTCCTGGATTCTTCCCACCCAACAAACCCCTTCCATGAGCTTCAGGTGAAGACCTTCTTTTGCCACGGAACAGAGACGACCCTGGGTAGAGTGGAGTGAGCAGGAGCAGGGCAGTAACACTTCTACTGGGGAAACCTTCCCCTGGCATAGCAGAGTTGCCTTACTCCACTCTGCATTCTCCAGGGAGCAGAGCTGAACTATAGCAACTTCACCCTGGAAACCCTCTCCTGCAGGGTTTCCTGCTACACTGGGAAAACATCCCCAGCTGGGATAACCCTCTCCTGCTGGAGCAGAGCTGACACACTAGGGAAGCATTTCTGGATGCAAAGCTGTGAGCCGCTGTGTTTACTGTGACCTGTGGTATTTCTTGGCTCCTAAGTACCAGAATACCTTTCTATCCAAAATGTAACACTCAATATTCTGTGACTCCCGAATGCCAGAATACCTTTCCATCCGAGCTGTAACACACAGTATTCTTTGGCTCCCGAGTGCCACAATCCATCCCTGTCCATCCCATCCAATCTGTCCAAATGCTTACAAGAAGTATAGGCAGGTCTAGGACACAAGGAGAATTCTGGGAAAGGTAGGCAGACAGAGCCCGCCAGAGTCACCATGTAAGCCACCAAAGGAGTAACAAGTATGAACCCTTCTCCGGTAAGATAAGACCACTTGGAAATACTTAGGTTAATAGAAATGGGTTAATAACTAAGACAGAGCTAGCCAATAAGAAGCCTTAGTCATTGGCCAACAGTTTCATAATTAATATAGTGAGTGTGTTCTTATTTGGGGCTGAGGGGGTTGGCAGGACCAGTCGGGGCAAAGAACCTCTTGTTACATGTGCCTTGGAGCAGAGCAGTCCCTTTGTAGAAGCAACTGCAGGCAGAAGCAGAAGTAAGAACAGAGTGGGCAGGGGAAGAAGCCTGGGTCTCGGAAGAGCCTGCATTCCTTCTCCCAAACAAGCAAAGATCTGAAGGCACAGCTCGAACCAGCATTAAGACAGGCACACATTCTTAAGAGGGCAATGGGAGAACCTGGGCATGGGGAAGGTAGGAACACTGTTTACAAAATTCTACCATATTTTCAGATTCTTTTCCTCTATAAACTTTCATCCAAAGTTTCTCTCTCACACTTCTTTGATATACATGTATGTGTGTGCATGTTTGTGCGTGCACTTGTGCACATGCCAGAGGGTCACCACAGTTGTCATCCTCCAAACTCCACACACTCCCTTGAGACAGGATCTCTCCTTGGCCTGGAGATCACCAAGCCCCACTGATCCTCCTGTTTCTGCCTTCCCAGTGCTAAGTATCTCCTGAGTAGCCCAGGCTTGCCTAAAACTTACAGCAATCCTCCTCCCTCAGCATCCTAAGTGCTGAAGTGACAGGTGAGCCACCACACATGGCTCTAAACCACTGTGGCATCTCTGTGGAGAGATTTTTTTCTTGTCCTGGGAAGAAGGGACTATGCCCCAGAGGCCCCAGGAGGGGGCAGCACATGGGCAGCCTCACTATCCAGACATTTGAGCTAGGAGTCACAGACCTGCCCTACACATATGTGTGTGTCTCAGCCAGAGTTTCTCTTGCTGCAACGAAAGCATCAAGAACAAAAAGCAAGTTGTGGAAGAAAGGGTTTATTTGGCTTACACTTCCACATCCAGCATTGAGGAAAACCAGGACAGGAACTCAAACAGGGCAGGAACCTGGAGGCAGAAGCTGATGCAGATACCATGGAGGGGTGCTGCTTACTGGCTTGCTCAGCCCGCTTTCTTATAGAACCAAGAACCACCAGCTCAGAGATAGACCAACCCACAGTGGACTGGACCTTCCCATATCAATCATTAAGAAGGTGTCTTATAGCTGGATCTTACAGAGGCATTTTCTCAATGGGGGTTCCCTCTTTTCAGATATCTCTAGTTCCTGTGTCAAGCTGACATATGACTAGCCAGCACCATGTCCAAGCAGGCATGTCAGTAAGTCTCAGCCCATGGAGTGTATGGGGCTGGCATGCATGTGGAACTAGATTAATCCATGGGCATGGCTTAACAATACCAGCCTCTACTGTCAGCTGCAGGCTCTCGCCAGCTGAGGCCAAAGCAACTTAAATGTGCAGAGGAGACATCAGAAGAACATGTGGAGAGGACAAACTAGCTGGGAGGGTCATTTCCGGGCTAAGGCAGAGCCCACGCTCAGGGCCCTGCTGCACGGGCAGGTGCTCAAGGATTGCCTGTAAGGATTGCCTCTTCTCACAGGCCTCCCTGCCCGGTCTTAAGGCCACAGTGTACAGAGGGTAATGGTTGCAGTGATGTGAATGTGTGATTGCTGAAGCCAGCCTGGGCTACATGTGACCAGAAAGAGGGAAGAAAATGAACCCCGGACATGAGAGGTGGAAAAAAAGAGAATTGTGGGCAGATGGAGGACAGCATGGGCTAACATCAAAACCCTGCCAGAGGGGAGGGGGGAGGAAGAAAGGGGGCGAGAAAGAGGGGACAGAGGAAAGAAGAGAGAGGGAAAGAGAGAGAGAGGGAGAGGGAGAAAGAGGAGATGAAGAGAAGAGAAGGGAGAGAGGAGGGGAGAAGAGAGGGAGGGAGAGAGGGGAGAGAGAAAAGAGAGGAGAGGAGGAGAGTTGGAGAGAGGAGAGAGAAAGGGAGAGAAAGAATGTAGGAGAACACCGAGTGACTGAATACTTGCACGGTGTCTATGAGAAACGAGGATAGGGCAGGGCAGAGCCTAGGAACCAGCCAGGGTGTTCACGTGTCGACTAGAGGTGCGAGGCGCTGCAGGTGATGGGCAGGCTCTGGGAAACGGGGTGGTGTGGGTGGAGAGACAGTGGCGGGTACTACCACATCTCATGTTCTGGCTCCTGGACATGCTCACTCCTCACAAAAGTCATCCGTCCAAGGCAGGGACACGCAGCCCACTCATGAGACTTCATGTGACACCGCGCTCACACTCCCGTGTCACCAGAGAGTGTCACAGTGAAATGTGGGCAGGGTGTGCTCAGCAAGTGCGATTGACGGTTGTGGAACAGGGTGTCCTGTGGTGGGTGACAAGGTGCTCAGCGCAGGGCCAGTCAGACCAGTGCCAGGCGCTGTCTCGGGACTGGCAGGGTGGGCCTGCTTCCTCACATCCCCTCACCTGTTTGGC